GAACCACTTGCTCCGGCAGCTGGTTGTCTAATGCTGACACGTGCACAAACACACACAAACACAAAAGAAGAATATTGGAATAATAAGTGGAATTTTTTTATATTTTTGTTGACTGATCAACTCTGTATTCAATTAGATTAAGTTGGCATATGTTCCTTGGTTTGTGCTGTCAATTTTGTGCCCAAAAAAACATGTGTCTGGTTGCTAATTCAATCCATAAATGTTCTCTTGCAGCTCTGATCTCATCATCCAAGTTTGAGTTGCTTACTGTCAAAATATAGTTGCAATTTAGTTCTCTGAGGTGCTTGTTGTAAAATAGAGAAAACTTTACTAAATTATTATTGCTTCGAAAAACATGGCTGAGGAAAATCCTGCGGATGAAAATGTAAACAAGGAGCAGGGCACGACAGCATCGAACGGCCACTCAGCAGTGGAGGATTCTCAAAACAACCCACACGATACAAACAAGAGCAAGGAGGATGGCACCAAAACAGTACCATATTACAAGCTTTTCTCCTTTGCTGATTCCTTGGATTACCTGTTAATGTCTGTTGGTACAATCAGCGCTATTGGAAATGGGGTCTGCATGCCTCTAATGACCATAATCTTTGGAGATGTGGTTAATTCTTTTGGAGGAACTGAGAATAATAAAGAAGTGGTTGATGCAGTTACCAAGGTAAATATTCTGTGACTAAAAACTGTTAGATAGGTAACTCAGTTAATGTGACATCTTCATAGAAATTAAGTCAACTAAGTAACAGCAGCAAAACGAAACAACAAAATTCTACTTAAATACATTGTTCTATCCAGTTCCAACAGAATTATATCAACTGAGCTTACTTCTGTCTTTTAAGTTCTATTTTGGTTCTCTAGTATGTCTAACTTTGTTGCTAAAATAGGGAGTTCCTTCACCAAATAAGTTCTCGATTAAGCAAAAGTCATATTTGCTAAATTGTGCTGGATGAAATTATAATGAACAAGGTTTAATTAGAAATAACTTGGCCAATTCAATATTATCAGGTTGCTCTAAAGTATGTCTACTTGGCTGTGGGAGCGGCTTCAGCTTCATTTCTACGTAAGTACACTGAACTCCCTGC